GGTAGATGAATCTATCAATTCTTCTGCCCATCTGAAAATAAAAAATCATCTAATGTCCCTGATTCTGAATTTAGTTTTTTCTTCAGCCAGATTAATATGCATTCAAATTAAAATTAATAAATATTCATTTTCTTCTTAATAAATATACACGTTTATAAATAGTTCAAGAAAAACTTGGTTGCAATTCTACTATGAAACAAAATGTTGTGCTAATTTCTCAGGCACAACCTTGAAAATAAAATTGAAGACGCTATTCTTAGTAGGATTTGGATTCAGAGAAAGGGTTGTTACTGTGAAGCATTGATTATTTTCTATACATTCCTCAATGTCTTCATGTTCCCCCAGAACCACTTCAGAGTACATAGGTTTATTATAGTCATCCGATTCGATATATTCAATTTCATACAAATATGTTTTTGTTCTTCGTGTGTGCACTAACTGAGCAGCAGCAGATATTAATTTCTTATCTGCATTATAAACTAATACTCCATTGAACAGAGATGCGTAGACTCCAAATAAAATAAAATGGTAAAATGTAGATTTGTCTTTTAATTTTATAGACACTTTGACAGATCCTGTACTGCATGCAGATCCAGGATGAGCTGAAATTGTATGCTCCCATAATATAGTATGAGCACAAATATGATTACATTTTCTCATTTTACATTTTACCATACCGTATGAACACGTTATTTCATGTTCTCTTATGTGACGTGGAGGAAAATTATCTTGACATCCTTTTGGTTTATTTACACAAGGGATAATAAGCTTATGTACAATATCATTCATGATTCTATTTTCTGTTCGAATAAACGTTTCTCCACAAATAGAGCATTTAGTTGAGACGCACTGATTGCAAAGAGAGTGTCCTGAGAGACATTGCTTCACAGGAGTTGAGAGATATTTACTACAATTGCGATTTGCACATCGTAAGGCGTCCAGAAGAGAGGAATAGTAGTCTCGGGTGATTTCGGTAGTTCTTTCCAACTCAATAGCACTTCTTACTTTCCTTGACATTGTATTTCATTCAATTTGTTGTGAAACTACAAAGAAATGTGATTTCGATTCTTGAAAAACTGATTTCCACAATATTGAATGTAACTGGAGTGCACTCAAGTTATATATCTTGCTTAAATATTCTGAAATGTTTCAAGAACTTCGTCCAATGACGAATTAAAAACGATTGTCAAGTTGTCATTGACAACATGAGAAAGACAAAAAAAGAAAGATATTCTGGGAAACGTACAAACTCCACCATTTCAAAATAAATATCGTTTTGTTTTTGACATGACGATTCAATTTTGATTAATCAACCAACCTGAACCATTTGTCCGATACACTAAAAAAATGTTTACATCAGGAGGGAGTTAAATAACACCCTCGTATATCTGAGAAAATCAGTTTGCTTTGTAGGATAATGGCCTTCGACGGTGGATTGATATGTGAACCCGACTTACGTTAGTATAAAGACCGTCATGGACAACCCTTCAGAGATCATGTTAATTCTGCTGTTCCACTCGTACACGAGTCGGCGGATACGACACGGCCTCAAAGACCGTGCACGACTCTCAAGGGTTATCCATGGCCGTTTTTATACAATTAATGTAGACGACCTTGGGCACCTTCCATTCAGTACAATTCTAGTGTCGTACTGAAATTGATCATAATCAAATCCACCACGTGATTGAACCAAGTGCGTGGTAATCAATTCTCATGTTTCTTGTGACTTATTTGCAAGTTCATTTGTAGTTTTGAGATTTTATATTACATTGCACCGATAAAATCACGCTCTGCCAGTGCATTCAACCTCAGCAAAGCCGTGGTAAGCAAAAATGAGTTTTGAGAATTAAAATGACAGTGAACCGTATGTCACATGTGATTCCCCGTAAGCCAGTGCTACCACAATGCAAAATTATTTTAAATGGCATATTTTGTTAGTATAAATTACCGAACCGTTTGTCGAGAAGTTTATAACTTAAAGAATGATTATACAGCACATATTTGTCTCTCGCTGTCATGAGAGTGAACCAGAATGTTCAGTAGAGATTTTATTATTTTTTCTGAGGAAGGAAGTTCTGACTCACATGTGATCAGGGTCTCGGCAGGACAGTGAGTGACGCAGTGGTGATCCATTGAACATGGTTTGTGATGTATTATCGTATTTACTCGCAATTTCGTGAGGATTTGTAGTGACTTTGCAGAGTAGTAATAAGAGCTTTGTCTAATCTAACGGGTATTATTCAGGAATAACTGTGAGTGGTATGTCTTCCAGTGAGTGTATAATTGATGATATTTTGAGGAGGCCATTTTCAACGAGGCAGTTACACGAGACGCAGCAGGTAACGGTAGGCCAATACCAGCTTTGGCACAATTTCAACAGATAACAACAAATTCGGGTCCGGGGGGGGGGAGGTGGTTGCCCTTCAGCAGCTGGGGTATAAAGGTAATTACCGCACGCCCCTGAGCGCTGCTATGAATTGCACGAACAGAATGACAAAAGAAAGCAACGTATCATTTTAGAACAACTTTTAACTTGATGCTCATTATAATTTCCTCGTTTTACTTTCTCGCTACCGCTTACCCAGTAGAGAGAAAGTTATGCTGCGCAAAAAAACGGCGAATTTTCGGCAGAAAAACTCTTATTACAGGGCCCTGGTAACGAAAAAGTGAATAAATTCAGTTGCTTAATTTAGAAAAAAAATGCTTTAACGTGATGTAGCCAGAATCCCTGATCTGTGTGTCCTTGATACCGAAATATCAAATGATGACAAAACGAACAACGTTAGAGACCCTAACCGTTTAGCCGATTTTCTCCAAAATTAATATTCTGCAATCGATCTGGCTGGGGTCGCGGATCCTGTAATTTGAAACAGATATTTTAATTTTGAGGGGTACTTTCCACAAAGCACTTGGAACATTTTCAAAGAAAAAAGGTTCCATCGTTTTTTATTAAATTTTGTTGCTGCATAGTGTGAAGGATATTTAAGGGAATGTTGCAGGTATCCTTTTCGTTGAAAACTTATTGGTCGAAACTTGCAAAAATTCAATTTTTTTTCGGCGTCATTCTACAAAAATTACGAAGGTACAAATTTTTCCCTTAATGAAATCTGTGCCTTAAAGATAGATCTGAGTACTTTTCAGATAATTTTGCGTGAAAGAACGGGCGAGAATCTATCTGCAGTTTTAGAACCACTAGTTAAAACGTGGTGTTTAAAAATGATCAGTCAAATGGTTGTAGACATGCTCCAATATTTATGTATTGGCCAACAACATTGCAAATGTATGCCTACTTTTTTGGGATTCGTAGGTTTCCTTTGAATAACAAAGATTAATTACGAGATTGGCTTTTAAACTTTCATAGAAAACCTTCAAGCATGATAACCGCAGTTACAATTGCTTCAAACATTTTAGACAACTAATGATGCTTGACTACAATAGCTTCAAATGAAGTACTGCCAGCTGCTGAGCGTACGTCCTCTATGAAAGTCGGACAAAGCTAACTGACAAAAAAGCGAAGATATTACAGAGGAAGAATAGATAAAAAAATAGAATCCAAGAATGTTACATAACAGAACTACGAAGAGTAATTGAAATACACTTCTACAATTTCATCAACACAGAAACTGATACAGCATCTGCGAAAAGATGTATTAAAATTCTGATATTGAAAATGTTCGTATGTTAGAAATCAAATTTTAAAAAGATTTAAAGGCAAGGCTGAACGGATGAAGTAAGTGTGTGCACACCCGAAATGAACCACCTACAGATTTCCATTACCGAACTGCAGTACGTCGGGGGGACGTGATCTCTCCATTATTCTTCAATCTTTTAGTTGATGCAATCATGACAAAGGCATTCTCGGGTCGACGTGGAATTCTGTATGCTGAGAACCAATACGTGACTGATCTCATGTTTGACGATGATAGCGCAATATTCGCGTACACTGAAGATTTTTACATTATAGACGACATCGCCGCACAATCCTAAGGCCTCAAAATCACCTCAGCGAAAATCCAAGTATATATATATATATATATATATATATATATATATATATATAGAGAGAGAGAGAGAGAGAGATCGAACGGGTGTCTGAGTTAATGTAACTTGGTTCGCGGGTTCAAGAGAAGAAAGTGGCATCCTTGGTAGATATCCTCAGCAGAGTTGGGCAGGCAGAAGCGGCGTTCGCCTCAAATGATGTCTATGAAAGAAGGAGAATATCTCGCTCAAGACCAAAATCCGCCTCTTCCGGACGCTCATCCTCCCAATACCTCTCTATGGATCCGAGACGTAGGTTCTTCTCATCATCGTTGGGACATCCACAAGCTGGAGGTTTTCAAACCGGGAGAGACTGATGTCACAGCAGTCCCTCCGTCCGGAAGGTTCTAGGTTCGAGGCCCGACGATGGCAGGATTTTCGACATTAGCTTCTTCGATAGGTCGAATTCAGTGTGTGTCTGGAGGAGAATCCTAGCGGCCGGCTGCTCTGATCGGCAGTTTTCCGTGGACTCTTTTCCGTGGATCAACACTAGGCGAATGCCGGAGCAGTACCTTAACAAACGGACCGAGCGCGATCTCACCTTCCTCTTCTTTGTCCTATCCTCACCCCTTACACACTAACGCGCGCTACACTACCACACATGCCAGGGGATCCCTCAGGAGTTGAGAGCTTGTCCTGGCTGGGGCGGTGCCCCGCTGGTGGGAGATACCTGGTTGAGGGAAATCCAGCTAGCTGACGGTAGGTCTCGGATCTAGCCATACAACGGGGGAAAGATCACCGCCACCTCCCGAGCAAAAACAAGCATCACGCTTACGGGACTAATGACCCTGGTAGTTGACGTGCCCGGAGTCATTAAAACAATCGATCATTGTTTTCAAAATGCGATGCCTACGTCAGATATTGGGAATTTCCATTCGCGACCGTGTTCGAAACTAAGTCATTCGTGTAAACTGCGACCATCTGGTACCCATCGAAGAGCGCATTCAGAAACGGCGATTGCAATGGATCGATCATGTCTGTCAAATAAGCACCTGCCGTCTACAACACCAAATCCTCTGGCGACAACGATCAACCCAGTGGAAGATCTAGCGAACGGCCAGAAAGAAAACCTGGCTCAAGAACATCGAGGAAGATCTGAGGAGTCGCCGTCTCAACCTCAGCGATGCCAGGAAGGAACCACCAACCACCAACCGCCGGAATTGGAAGCATCTACTTACACAACGTCCCGAGTCCTGCGGCGCCCACAGCAGCGTATTTGTTTCTGGGTCAGCCCCCTCCACACGCCGCCACCAAGGGACCAGGAGAAGAAGAAATGGCTAGGGCGGCTATTCAGTGGCGTGAACTGGTTTTATGAGCTGCGCTAACACTGAACTTACAAATACTATTTTTTATAAATAATTTAGGTAATTTGGAACCACCTAAAAACAGCGCCAATCATCAGACAGAGATGACGAGAAATATCCGCACTATTACATTACTTTCTCTTCTTACGAAGTACTTTCGTAGGGAAAAGAAAGTAAAAATGCATTTATCAGATATTTTTCTTGGGACTTTGAAAAAAAAACAATACACCTGACCCCGACCCATCGAGGGTTACTATACCCGAACATTCCCGAGGACATAGCACGCTAGGAAGGCGTGACGTTTTTCAGAATAGCCTTGTGGTTTGTGACAAGATATCGTTTAATTATATTAAATATAGATTTATTTGCATGCGTATGGATGGCGTAGGCCATCCTCAGTGTAATATTTACTATTTAGAAAGCGTTTTCATCACTTGTAGCAAATAAAACGAAGTATCGGGCCAAACGTGACATTGATAATGATTTACTTTGTGTACTTTCTCACATTCCACCAAGGATAGGGAATCTGTTAAAAAATGCAAGCTCATCCTTCTCACTTTTTTTCTTGACTCCTGTTTAATTTAAATTTCAATCTGTTAATTAGGAATTAATATTAATTAGGAATCGTATTGCATTTTCTTGGCATAACCTAAAAAAAAGAACATTTCAACAAGAGGCAGAAACAACAAAATAATTAACTTATAAAATTGTGAAGAGTAAAAAATGTATTGTTATTCAATGTAACTCTTATTTTATTCATTACCAAATACAAATGTGCAAGGGAGGCGTGAGACATTCTGCTACTGCGGGAGACGGCGTGGTAAAAATGGTTTGGGAATCCCTGCGTTAGTAGAATACCTTTAGTACATTTTAGTGAACTAAACATATTGTATACATTTTCAATTAAATTAAATTTAAAAGTTATTGGTGCTAAAACTTTCTTTCCTAAAACGTACTTTCTCGCCCGTACTTTCACGCAAAATTATTCAAGAAGTACACACATTTTCGAAAAGTTGTACACGACCTTATTTCAAAATCTTTGGGAACCGATTTCATTTGGGGAAAATTTATATATTTTATATTTCAGTTGTAGGAAGGCTCCGAAAAAATTGAATACTTGCAATTTTCGAAAAATCAGGGTTTTCAACGAACATGAGACCTACACCATTATCTTAAACATTCTTTACACTACATAACAACAAAAAGTAATCACAATCGATGGAGCCATTTTTTTTGATAATTTAGAAAATGTTCCAAGTACTTTAAGTAAAGTACCTCCCAAAATTAAAATATCAATTTCAAATTCAAGGCGCCGCGACATCAGCCAGATCAAATTTGGAGAAAATCGACCGAACTGTTTAGCGGCTAGTGTTGTTCACAGATGATCGGACGGACGGATAGACGTTTTCCGGTCATTCAATTTTTCTGCGTCAGGGACGCCAAAACATGGATTGTGACTACACTCCGTGCCAGAGGATTTTTGTTTCTAAATTTAGCAATTGTATTTATCCACTTTTTCGATACCAGGATCCTTTCATAAGAGGTTTTCTGCCGAAAGTTCTCCGTTTTTTCGGACAGAATTACACAACTTCGTCTCTATTGCGCAAGCGGTAGCGAGTAAGTAAAAACATGGGAAACATCTTGAAAGCTAGTGCAAGTTTAGAATCTTTTATATAAATATAAAATTCTATGAAAAACATATGCCCAAAAATATTCCCAATTTTTGGTATACCTGATTACAGCAGTAGGTATTATCCGTGCATGTTTTCTTGAGCCCTCGCTTCACTAGTTGCGAGAGGAGTGGGAAGTATGGTTATTTTGACAAAAAGAATTTTATACAAAATTTGTAGTTCGTTTGTCGATGCAAAATTGTTTAGAATGACACAGAGCGAACATTTCTGGTTATCAGAATTTGACATCAGTGCTCGTTGCTATAATTTCTTATTAATTCATCTAATGTTGGCAAAGGAGTGGAGGTATGCATTTCAGGGCTCAAAAAATACCCTGGAATGTTTTACAAATCACCCTTATTCTTGGCTTAGTGCTATTTCGAAAAATCACAATTCTGTAAATAGTAAAATACAAGTAATTAAACCGAATTGAATATACTTTTATTAGTATCTTATTGTCTTATCTTAACTATTAAGCAATGTTTATTCGAACAATCAGTACAGAGATCAATATTTATTACCAATTTTTTTGTTTTGTTTTGCTGTCCTGAAAAAAGTCAAATTTTGACCCAGTTGTATTTGGAATTTGCCTCTTCAATAATGGCGCATATTAAATAACTTCTCCAATTTCACTGCAGATAGCAGACCATAGCCGTGATGTAACGCGGGTAGATGGCAGCACTGCCCGAGTCTCAGCATGAGAAGAGAGAGCCGGTAACGGACGGACAGTTGGATTTTAAAAGTGGTTGGTGGTGGTTGTGTGCTGTGTTGCGTTTCTTACAGTAGTGGTTATTCGTTTTTTCGCTTCTTCTGCGGTGTTTGGATTGAGAAAGATTGTGCATATTCAGGTAAATACCCTATTTTATATATTGCTACATGTATATTTGATTTCACATGAAGTTCATTATGTGAACTTGTAGTTCCACTGTTGTATTTAGATTCCTTACTTTTATTTGAGTGTTATATTCATTGAATGAGTAATGTTGATATTTAAACTTGCCAATATTTGTATTACGAAACTTTTAAAGATTTATTGCGACTAAAAAAATTAAGGTTATTTTACATTCTTGAGTTTATATTGTTTAAGCTGTCCATTTATGGTTTCGCTCATGAATATTGGATGTTTGTTGTTGCAAACTAATGAAAAGGCAGGGCACACTTGTCATGTTTTTTATGGACAAGTAAATGTTACAAGAGATTGATTCTCAATTAAAGCGAACTTTGAACGTTCGGTGACATAAGGTAAATTTTCATTGTTTTCTTTGCAAATTCTCCTTGGGGAAGCAATCGATTGTGACCTACTCGGCTTACTAATGTATGCATTGTTTCCTGACATTTATGATTATTTGACGATATAATTTTGTTGTTCTGTGATCTTGCAGAAATAGTTCATTGTATCACTAAAACTATCTACTGAAAGCTTATGAATACAGGGGTTGATGACTTTTAAGGACTTATATGGGAGTGGCAAATTAATAAAGTTCAAAAATAGGGGAGCCTCAACGTTTTTCAAGAATGTTAGTATCTACTACAATATATATTTCATTCCGTTTGTGAATGAATCGCCCCTCAAATTTTATCATATTTCTGTAAATGAAATTGGACTAGAGAAATGACGTGAATGATTTTTTAAAATGAATTGTCAAGAAATACATAATTAGGAAATAAATTTCCAGGTGTATGCTTGATAAATTTGCAGTATAAGTTTTACAAGTTTTGAATATTTAATTTAAGGTGAAGTATGATTTTGTTATTCGAAAAATTAATTTATGAGTTGTTTAATTTTTTGATATTATTCCCGAACAAAACGCTTTAATTTTTAGTCTAGCCAATATAATGTTAAAACCTGTTGTTTTTTCCCTTCTTTTTTCCTAAAAAATGGGAAAAAGTACAAAAATCCAGACTATAAGAGACCTCTATTTTTAAATTTTAAATGTATGAACTCGTTTTCTATATGAGTACGTGGAAAATGTAATATTTTGAATTTATGATTTTAGAAATAACGTATCCAATTGTGTCGCAAACGACAGGACAGAGCTAGTATGGGAAGTTTATATATGTAACTTTGTCTCAGTAGTGACATGTGTCAATAATGGAAGTTTCATGACATCGGGCAACTGCCTACAAGCTTTTTACTCCGACCGTGGTAAGTTTTCTCAGCTCTCCCGTATGCGGATATCTTTGTTCTTTCCGCTTTTTATTGTTATCAACGGCTGGTGGGCTGGTCTTGCGTACCCGTTTTATGATAACGAATTACAACTATGAAGTGTGTGAGGCATTGAAAGTGGCGAATTATTTAGTCATCGGAATGAGGCTTAAGGTGAGCTCTTGCATGTGTGTGGGCCTAGTACGTATGTATTTGCTAATATTCTTTGCCCTTTTTATGGCAAAAGAACCAAAGGAAGACAGATTTAGTAGAGCAGGTGAATCGAATCGCGTCAGGAACATTGAAGGAATCGGGATCTGCTGGCAATGGCCAGAAACTTTAGGAGCATGAGATATTTGTATACTTCTCGTACGTACGGCATGTTCGTTGTAAGTGAAATTCAGAGTTAACATATTTTTGTAAATATTGATTTTGTAAAGAAAGATTGAAACATCTGAGGAAAGCGCTTGCCTTCCTAATTGTAGCAACTTTTATCACTTACCCCCTCCGTGAGATAAATGTTCCATTTAATCCCCCCCCTCATTCCCTACCAAAACAAGTGCCCCCATTAAAAATTTGCTGAAATATCGTATGTATTTTATAACAACTTTAATTTCATTCCAAACATGTAATTTCTATAACTTTTATCATTTATTTTTAGTTTGATCTTGTGATAACGATCACACAAATGCTGCGAAGAGCATTCATTTTGTATCAAACCTCTTCCCCCTCAATTGCTTTCGAGAGAATCGTTGCTTGATCTGAGATGGCAGGTCAACCGGTCATGGTCCTAGGCTATTTTCTGCAGGGGAAAGGAATACCACTAGAGGAGGGTAGAAATCGAAGAACTAATGAACGAAGACTATGTTCGTGTACGCAACACAGTCTCAACATAGAATGAATACTCGGGGAATGTCTTGTCGAAGGTTCGTAAGATGGATTCGTAGGCTTCCGCGGCCGGAGTCATTTGAAACGTCAGCTGGATCGACCGAGACGCGGCTCATCTCAGAGAGCCAAGAATCTCTTCGTCTTGTCGATTTGTCTTGATTTGAACATTTCTAAGCGTGGAAATCAAAACCGCCCCCGCCCCCCAGTGTGGATGAATTGTGTCCCTGCCGAGCAAAACTTAACTTCCCAGCGAGGGACGGATCTCCGGGCAGCCGTCGGGGAGGCGGTGTTCGAAGAC